ATATATATTAATAAAACAACTTATCATAGCATCTTTGTAGATAGAAGACTATTAATTTCTTAGATTAAAAACAATTTTTATTACTGCTGTAGTTCAACAGGAATAAGTATTATTATTATTATTTATTTATTTTTGTCTTCTTGAGACAGTGTCTCCCTGTAGCCACAGCTGGCCCAAAACACTATGTAGAATATAGAACAGGCTGGCCTTGACCTCACAGAGATCCACTTGCCATTGTCTCCCAAGTGCTGAGATTAAAGGCATGTGCTATCATGCCTATTCTTAGCAAACTGTTTTCAGGAGCTAAAAGATGAATACCCATTAGAAATTAAGTATTTATTGGTGGAAATTAAATGCTGCAAAAACCAAAAAGACAAGGTTCGGATGTGGTGGTGCACGCCTTTAATCCCAGCATTTGGGAGGCAGAGGCAGGCAGAGCTCTGTGAGTTCAAGGCCAGTCTGGTCTACATAGTGAGTTCCAGGACAGCTGGGGCTACAGGGAGACCCTGTCTCAAAAAGACCAAAAACAAAAAAGAGAACAAAAACAAAAAAAAAGATGTGAGACCTGAGTCTGTAAGGATAGCTCAGTGGTTAAGAGCACTGGCTGCTCTTGCAGAGGACCTGGGTTTGGTTCAGTACCCATATGGTGCTAGATAAAAAGAACAAAATAGAATTTATGTGTGTATAAGTGTGTTTGTGTGTGCCCCAAACATGGCAATACCTGAATCAAGAGGATCTGATTTTAATGAATTGGCAGAGTCAAAATGTCCTTCAATCACAAAAGCTAACTTCTCCAGATCAGCAAGTTGTCTTTGAATTGAGATGTGTCTCTCTGAAAGGAAATTTTAAGAGTTACAAAATTTAGTGATTTGTTTTTCGAATTCCACTTTTATTTATTCCCATCATATAGAAGTTTATACTTTTATCTGATAGTATAAGCTTATTGCCTATAGGGTGAGCACTGCCATAGTTCAGTTTAGAAAATGGCAAGTACTTCAGGATACAAAAAAGTTAGGGAACACCTTCACTTGTAACTTCCACCTTTAAAACTTTTTTCTTTTTCTTTTAAAATTTTATGTGTATGAGTATATTGCTTGCATGTACATAAGTGCACCCGTGTTGTCAGAAAAGGGCATTGGATTCCCTGGAACTGGAGTTAGGTTGGTTGTTAGCCAACATGTAAGTGCTGGGAATCGAACCCAGGTCCTCTGCAAGAGCAGCAAGTGCTCTTAACTGCTGATTCATTTCTCTAGCCCCAAACTTTAAAACTGTATCTAGTTAATGAAATTCTAAGAAAAATGTTTCTGCCCTGGGAGCTGGAGATGCAGCTCAGTTGGTAGAGTACTTGCCTAACTAGCCATGGGTTTGATTCCCAGTACCATATAAATAGGACATAGTAGAGCACAGCTGTAATCTAGCACTCAGATGAAGAGGCAGAAGGATAGGAAGTTCAAAGTCACCCTCAACTACATAGTGAGTTTGAAGCCAGACCCTGTCTCAAAAAGACCAAAAAAAAAAAAAAATATTACAAAAATAAAAAGTTTCTATCCTGTAAAAAACACTTAAGAAATAATCCATATTCTGTGTTTTCAAAGAATGTTTAATTATATGGGAGGTTAACATACTAATTTTTAGCTGTAATAATAAGTAAAATGAAATGAACACCAGATGTAAAACTAATATGATACAAAGGAATGACTAGTTAATTCTAACAAGTGACTGAGTGACTAAGAACACAATTCCCTAAATTAAGGTTAAGAACAGAATTTTAGTTAAGTAGACTTGGTGACTAGCCTTATAAATTGAAAGTAACTTTATGAACAAAGCGTGTGGTATAAAACTTTTAGCTACCCCAACCTTAACTTTTGGCTAAAATGTAATATATTGGGTGAAGGGGTGAAATGGGTAGAAAAATATGTAAGCAAAGTGAAATCTGGATCATGTGAGTAATAAAGTCTATTCAAGTTAGCTAGACTTTATTTTCTAGGGAACAGTAAGTCATTTCAGGTTTTAGAGGTAGTAAACAGTATGATCTGAGTGTGCTTCAGGAAAGTACCTGGTACAGTACCGACAATACGGTGTGAAAATGAATAATGGAAAGGTATCAGAGAACAGAAAGTAAGGAAGTAACAGAACTTGGGATATGAGAAGTTAGTAATATAAAGATGATTCTAAGATTTTGAGTGTATGGGTAAAAATGATGTGCCATTAACCAAAGAAGGAAGAAATCCTTTTGATAGAAAGGTAGAGGAAAGAGAAAAGGAAAATTGATTTTTGACATAGTACATTTTATATACTACTGGTAGTATATGTAGAAATAATAATGTCCAGTAGTAGGTGAAAATTTGTTTCTCTAGCTCAGGAGAGATTGATGAGATTCAAATCATAAATATACATATTCAGTAAAGCTATGAAGAACAAAAAAGCCCAAAGGAAAAATACTGTGAAAGAGAAAAAAAGCCAGGGCTGGAGAGATGGCTCAGCAGTTAAGAGCACTGACTGTTCTTGTAGAGGACCTGGGTTCAATTCCCAGCACCCACTTCACAGCTAACAACCACCTATAACTTCAGTTCCAGGGGATCTGACGCTCTTTTCTGACCTCCGTGGGCAATGCACAACACTGATGCATTTACACATACGCAGGCAGTACACTCATATATAAAAATTTTTCCCTAAAAAAAGAGAGAAAAAGCCAAGATCCAGTTGTAACCAGTTATGATCACTTTCAAATGACTAGGTCACCTAAAATTAATTCTTTTTTTTGTTTGTTTGGTTTTGTTTTTTGAGACAGGGTCTTCTTGTAGCCCAGGTGGCTCAGAACTACTATCCAGAGTAGGCTGGCTGTGGTCCCATAGAGATCTGCCCACCTCTACCTACTGAGTCCTGGGATTAAAGGCATGCGCCACCACACCTGGCTAAAATTAATTCTTTTAAAAGAAATTACATTTATTTATTTATTTATTTATTTATTTAGTGCATGTGTGTGCCACAGCATGTGTGTGGAAGCTAGAGGACAACTTGTAGTAGTTGGTTCTTCCCAGCAAGTGGGTCTCAGGGAGAACACTCAGATCATAGGCTTGGGGGCTAGTACCTTTACTCACTGAGCCACCACATCAGCCCTAAAATTAATTGTTAATGTAATTAATGTTTTAATTCTAATGCATTTTATATTTTGAAACAATTCCTTTTTTGTTTCAGTTATGCATTTTCAGATTTCTTAAACATGATACATTCCTCAAATCAAATAAATCCTGAAAAATATGAGTAAGGTTCTCCTAAATGTGTTTGAATATATTCTTGGTTTGGTGGGGAAATGCATTCCCTAAAGTTGTTAAATCCACTACTGATTGATGTAAGTGGACATAAACTAGAAATGAGTGGAAAGACTTAGGTATTTAGAGAAGTTTAGTACAAAGAATCAAGAAAATAGATTCAGAAAGAATAATGCTAAGGAAACTCAAGGAAGAGAACAGAAGCCAGAGGAGAGGAGTACAAAGAAAAATGCTCACGGCTAAGTATCCAGAGTAAAGATCAAGAAACCACTGTATGCAATGAATCCCTGGTCAGTGAGGTGTTTGGGAGTAGAAATGAGATTGGAAAGGGAAAGGAATACAGAAAATCAGTGTAATTATTTTTTCAAATACTTTGGTAGTACAAAAGATAAAGAGATGGATGAAATTATAATTCATCTTTTCTAAAGATGGAGAACCCAAATGTATATGTATCCCAAAGGAAAACTGCAAAGTGGAAACCTGAATGCATAAGAACAGAAGATGGTGTTGGGTAAATATCTCCAAAGATAAACAAGATATTTATTTCAATGTAATAAACCTCAGGGCTCAGCCATCATGCTAAATCATTTAAAACCTTAAGAATTTTCAGTCCAATTTTTGACACTACCTATTCCTCCCAAGCTTTAGTCAGCACTTACTTGCTCACCCATGTGAATAATGCCCTTTTGTCTTCCTCATAAATAATAAGGTGATAGTGTTTGTACTTGATTCATCTTTCTGGTGGCTAAGTGCTAGGTGCAGGGACTTATACTGAGGCACTAAGGACCATTTAATCGTTTTTAAAAATCATTAGACTTTTTGGAGCTAGTAGCACATTTTGTCAATAATTTTGGAATCTAATTCAACATTATCAGACTTCTTGCTAAAAATTTTTTTTTCTAAGCAAAAACAAAGAGTAACAAATATTATTGGTTATCCTTAGTTTTCAATAAGGGACTCATTATGTAGCCCAGACTGGGCTGGAACTCACTATGTAGGCTAGGCTGGCTTCAACTTTATGATCCTCCTGTCTTAGTCTCTTGAATGCTAGCTTGGATTAGCTAACTTCATATAGCAGGCCTTATCAAATGATCTATATATAACAAGATATAGACCGAAAAAAAAAAACCTTTAATTGCTAGATCTGGCAGTTTGTAACCATGAAGGGTTTTGCCTTCATAGTTCAAACATGCATATATGCAAAAGATATATAATACTGCATAAAGGTATGCTTACAGGAAATATTCTAACGGGTAAATAGTATAGAAAGATTCTTCTAAGCCAGAAAACGGAAAATCCTATAGTCCTTTATTGAAGAAAATTTAAAAATCTGCCTGAAAATTTATGATATGCCTATACATACCTCTGCAATCACTTTCTGGCTCAACATAGTACATAACAAAAAATCAGTATTGAAAACAGTCAACTGGCTTTTTGTAACACACTAACAATCCGTAAGTCACTAAGCAAACCTGTTGTTAGATCAGATGAATCCAAGATACAAGGTTCTTTCACAACTTCTGTTACTTTTTTTTCATTTTTCAACTCCAGTTCAAAATCACCATCTTCAACTTGCCTGGCTATAACTGACTTTAAAGGACGAATTAGATAATCTAAAAACAAAAAGTTAAATGATTAATATGCATTTTAAAGATTCTTAACACACTTTTGTAAGTTTTGTAATATACAAGCAAATGTTATCAACACCTCCATGACCATCCCTTCCCACGTTTTTGAAACAATGTCTGCCTAAGCAGCCCAGGCTAGTTTCTAATTTAACAATTCTCTTGCCATAGTGGTTCAAGTACCTAGATTACAGGTATGCCCTGCATTAAGATATTGTTAATGATGAGGAGAGGAAAAGACATGTATTGCTCAAAGCTGCTGCTACTACTAATGCAAACAGAATCTGAAGGGCAGCAGCTGCTCCTCAGACAAATGTAAAAACTCTCCACTCATCAGATTGTAGGTATAGAAAAAAAGGCTGGGGCTGGAGAGATGGCTCAGCAGTTTAAGAGCACTGGTTTTTCTTGCAGAGCCCTGCACCCACATGGTAGCTAACAACCATCCATAACTCCAGTTCCAGGGGATCCGACGCCTTCTTCCCTCCACGGGCATTGTACAACATGGGTGCACTTACATACAATGCAGGCAATACACTCATACATGTAAAATAAAAATAAGATATTTTTAAAAAGAAAAAAATTATCATTTAAAAGCTGTAATCTCACATGATGAAAAGTCTATCTGAGGCATGCTGGCTTTGTCTTTTCTGTGGTCAGTCCTATTACTCTTTGTTTTTGTTTTGAGGCAGTGTCTCCCTGTATCCCCAGCTGGCCTGGAGCCATGTAGGCCAGGCTGGACTAGATCACCTGCCTCTGCTGGGATTAAAGGTGTGTGCCACCACTACCGACTCAGCCTTACTACTCTTTTTTTTTTTGGTCTTTTTGGGACAGGGTCTCCCTGTAGCCCCAGCTGTCCTGGAACTCACTATGTAGACCAGGCTGACCTTGAACTCAGAGATCTGCCTGCCTCTGCCTTCCAAGTGCTGGGATTAAAGGCATGAGCCACCCACTCCTACTACTCTTAAATTCACTTAGTTATGAGGTTTTAGAACTACAAAATAAATTCTCTTAGATTATGACTGTTTTATAAGCATCAAACCAAAAACTGGCCTATAAATAGTAAAGATGAATTAATTTATCATAAGTGATCATTCAGAAAGAGTATAAAAATCAATTTATGGAATGGATCACAAAGTTTGTTGAACTTTTAAAAATCTTTCTTAGAGCCAACATAAAGTGTTCAGCAGAATCTGGAAAGTTCTAATGATCAATCTTTTGATTCCAGTACCATCCAATAAACCACCACTCAGAAAACACGCAAACACATTCAGGGACAATAACATGGACTGTTTTCACTCTTCGTTTTCTGATGGAATGAAGTACAAAACTCAATTGGTATTTACGTGTGTGTGTGTGTACACGCACGCGCGGCGGGTGGGAAGATCCATAATTTAGCATAGCAGACTATTCTCCATACAACTCAAGGGTTTCAAATTCTTTTTGGAAGCAAGATACTAAAGAAAATTTAATGACAAGTTATAAGGAGCAGGCACTAGAATTGCTAATGAGCTCGGATAAGCACCCAGAAAAAACTATATAAAAACCAAGAAGAGAACAGAGGCAGACGCTCTCAAGGAACCGGACTTCAGTGCCTTCCTCCCATCCAGCTGCCAGCTCATGTGACGCCGAAAGGACAGCTAGGGGACCAGCACCGCTGAACTCACGGACTGCCTGTGTTTTCCTCTCTGACGGCGGTAGTGTAATTGTAACTTAGTTTGTGATTACCATGATTAAGGAATGTGTGATGTATTATGTGTGCCTGTGCCATGTGTTGGTGTGTGTTAGTGAAAGGCACCTGTCTGGACATATATATTTCAACGCAGACAGCCTTACAGCCGCCCTCTCTGCTCCGACACAAGTCCATCTGTGTAAGTCGAAACCGAAAAACTAGTTGAGTGTCTAATCTTGACAGGATCTACGATCTTGAAGAGGGTGCCTCTGTTACCATGACACATTTGAGTTCCTTAATCAGAACAGACTGGGCTGACACGGAAACTAATACATTAACCAAAACAACTTTTAACCTCATCATTTACTTCGACCTGCATCACCCCTGGCCTTCGTTTATCTGTTACGGTGATGTCCCCGAGGCTTACGGAGGTGCCAGTCCAGCCTGCACCCCTTTGCCCTACCTGCGGCTCGGGCCCTCTTTCTTCCTAAGCCTGCTCTTCCATATAAAACCTTTTCTGGGAGGGCCTCCCCTGCTCCTCAGCCACGCGCACTTTCTCAAATCTCTGCGGCAGAAAGATCCGGCCGCAGGCACTTACTGCGTTCAGCCTCCTCGGGGACAGAGGCTAGAGAAGGGGACAGGGCCAGGGCCGGAGCCGGGGCCGGGGCAAGGGCTGGGGCTGAAGCCGAGGCCGGAGTCGGAGCCGAATCTGGGGCCGGAGCCGAGTCCGGAGTCGGGACCCTGACCTGGGCCACCTCCTCCTTCTCCGGGGGTAGCAGGTCCTCCTCCGCCAGATTCTCCATAGTTACCGCCTCCAAGCCAGGGGACGCGGGGCTGGGGGACTCGCGGCGGGGCGAGAGAAATAACGTGAAAATCCACACGGGTGGATCCAAAGGCCGGGAAGCAAATGGGGAGAACGGAATGCGTGCCACAGACAAAAGGCGAAGCACCGATGATCCAACTCTGTCAACAAAAAAACAGAAAGCCAGAGGTGGCGAACCGAACCCTCGCCAGCCTCCTTTCCCCGAGGCGTTACAACGCTTCCACAGACGGCCCAGTAGCGTGTCGAGGCCAGCGTCCAATGAGGAGAAAGAGTTCCGTTTCCGCTGTGCGTCTCCGTTCCGACCGTCCACCACAGAACCGAACTAAGACTACAATACCCAGGGAACACCGCGCCTCCTGGGCGGGGCTGAGTTCCAGTCCTGGAAGGAAGTACAGACCGATGTCAGCGTACTTTGGAATTCCCTAGAGCGTTCCGGGTGCTGGTTCGGATCCGAGCCCGGAACTATATTTCCCAGCGTGCAGCGGGCTCGGGGGAGGGGGTCCGTTGGCGTCCCCTAGGCCTCAGGAGTCGCCGCCGCCCTGGGCGCTGGTAAGGTAGGGGCGTCGGAGCGCTTGGCTTTTCTCTGGGCAGCCGCCCTACACTCCCTGCCTCACAGACCCTAGGGAACAGGCGGTCGGCTGGGGACTCTGGGTACGCCGGGGTTTGGGCGGGGCGACTCTGTGGGCGGACCCGAGCTTCCGCCGGCTGTGTGGAGGGTGTGGCCCCAACCGGGCCCAGAGAAGCCCTGGATGACTGTGAAGAAGGTGGGTTCCGAGCCGGTGGACTCGGCGGTTTGGGAGCCGTCGTCGCGCTTTCTGTCAGTCTCGCTGTGTGCTCTTCCTCTCAACTTTCCTCACACTGCCCGAACCACTTTAGTTTCCCTCAACCCTGGTATTCGCAGTGCCTGCCCGCTGCGGCTCGGTGGCGGGAGAGTGTGTTTGCGTGGTTTTTGGCTTCTGATAACGAGTGCTCTGAAAATCGCTGCGCTTCGGGGCACTTCGATGCGCTTCAGATTCTCGCAGGCATCTACCCCGAGGGAACCCTCTGCGCCTCCGACTTTGGTCTTGTTGCTCTGGGCCCGCTTGCCCCGCAGCCTCAGTTGTCCCTTTCTCTTTATTTCTTATTTTAGCAGACTTGGAAAAACACTTGGTTTTTTCCTGGCTTCCTGTTGGGGACCGGTCTGAATTCTACAGGAAGCAGGGTGGGTGCTCAGCACCGAGACTTGGACTTCCAGGTCGCCTTTCCTTAGTAACAAGATGGTAATGCGCCTTTCTCAGTGGCCTACTTCCATGGTTCAGAACCCAGAGGAGACTGTAAGTGATTGTCACTTTGAAACAGTAACTACAAGTTAGCTTTCTTATTGTCCTTCCTAGTTAGGAAGGAAATTTGGAGCCCGGTCTCCCCCATCCTTCCCTAGTTTAATAAAGAAACAGATTCTCCCCCTGAAGCTTCTGGACGTTCTAAAGCCCTTTTAAGAGCCTGGGACATCCTTATCTCAGTGGTAGAACATTTCGTACATCTGCACAAGGCTCTGGGTTGGATGCCTAATATCACAAGAAAACTAAAGCCCTTTCACTCCACGTTTTTAAAAAATATTTTTATTTTTATGGGTGTATTGTCTGCATGTATGTAAGTGTGCCCGTGTGGTGCAATGTCCGTGGAGGACAGTAGAGGGCGCCGAATACCCTGGATCTGCAGTTACCATGTTAGCCACCATGTGGGTACTGGGAATTGAACCCAGGTCCTCTGCAAGAGCAATTGGTGCACTTAACCTCTGAGCCATCTCTCCAGCCCTAGTCCACCTCTTTTTGACTAGTGTTCTTGTAGGAATTGACTGAAAGTTTAACCCTTATAACTTAAATACTGACTGCCCGGTGTGGTGGCGCACTCCTGTTGTCCCAGCACTTGGGAGGCAGAGGTAGGTAGATTTCTGTGAGTTCAAGGCCAGCCTGGTCTACACAGCGAGTTCCAGGACAGCTGAGGCTACACAAAGACCCTGTCTCAAAAAGACCAAAAAAAAGAAAAAAGAAAAAAGAAATGCTGACTATATCAGAGTAATATCCAAGAATTAATTTTAATTTCCAGGATCAGTCCCCTACCATAATACTGAGGAAACCTATGCAAAGCAAGCATTGTACCTCCAAGCTACATTCTCAACTCTTGATTAAAAAAAAAAAAATTATAAGTGACTAAATGCTTGATTTGAAAGCTTTATTTAGTACTTCAATCTCATCATTTAATACCACCTAGAATCCAGGAGATGAAAACAATTATATTTTAGTATGTGGATTTAATGGCAATTTTAGTTAAAATTTTCTAAGCATGAAGGAATTTTCAGTTTAAAGACTTAAGAGAGTGTAATTGTACATCAATTGCTGCATAAGGTATCCCAATGGCTTAAAGCAGCAGTAAACATTTATTTACCCTACAGTTTCTGAGGGTCAGAAATTTAGAGATGGCTTTTGGGTAGATCTGACAGAGTCTTTAATGATGCTGCAGTGAAGATACCTCCCAGGGTTGCAATCGTGTAAAGACTTGATAGAGGTCAGCTTCAAAGGTGGCTGCCTCATCTGCCTGACATTTGGTCTGGTTGTTGGCAAGAGACTTGAGTTGGTCCCTGGTATGCCTTTACATGGGCTGCTTGAGTGTCACTTAGGACAAGTCTGGCTTTCCCTAGAATGAATAATCCAAGACAAGAAGGCAGAAGCCACATGTCTTGTATGATGTTACATACTGCCATGCAGCAATACTCTATGGGTTATATAGGTCAACCATGTTCAACCCTGTTGTGGAGGAGAGACTACATAAGCACTATGATACCAAGCTGTAGCTGCAATGCTTTTGAGGAGCCATCTATGGCAGGGCTTCTTAGCATTTTTCTATCCTTGAGCCGTTTTCATTCGAGAAATTTTTATTTGACCCAGGTGTGTATGTAATAGACACAAAACAAACATTTACTGAAATTAAATCTTAAATTTATTTTAAAGTAATTCTTTGGTATGCATATAATTTTACTGTTTGTTAAAGGCGAAAGCAAGTTTGCATACTAATGAAATGTGCTTATTTTTACATAAAGAATTTAATCTTGGCTGAATATTTGATACTGTAAGACGTGAGCATCTTCAACTTTTGAGTTGATTGATAGTTTAATTTTATAATCCTCAATGCTAAGAACAGTACTTCACATAAATATGTTTTATATATCTTTTTTAAAACTTTTATTTTTTTATTTTATGTGTATGCATGTATTGTCTGCATGTAGGTAAGTGCACCCTTGTCATGCAATGCCTGCGGAGGATGGAAGAGACTGTCAGATCTCCTGGAACTGGAATTAAGGACAGGTGTTAGCTACCATGTGGGCACTGGGATTCGAACCCAGGTCTTCTGCAAGAACAGTGTTCTTAACCGCTAAGCCATCTCTCCAGCCCTCACAGAAATATTTAATACATACTACCAGAAGTATGTTTAGGGCCATGTCAGAAATTGTTGGAAATTTTGTCCTAATCTCAAGCCAAAATTCATTTAACCTAAAAAAAAAAAAAAACTCAGGTCAGCAACTCAAACAGCAATTTGTACAATCAACCATTCTAACACAATCCAATCCAAAGATATACTAAATTTGATACATGCTGAGAAATGATGGTAAGAAAATGTTTCTGTAATGACACAATTACTGTTTCTGTAGGAGCATAAAATTTTGTATGTATAATAAAAACACTGCAGCCAGGCGTTTGTGGCGCACGCCTTTAATCCCAGCACTGGGGGGAGGGGCAGAGGCAGGCGGAGCTCTGTGAGTTCAAGGCCAGCCTGTTCTACATAGTGAGCTCCAGGACAGCTGGGGCTACAGGGAGACCCTGTCTTAAAAAGAACAGCAACAAAAAGAAACACTGCAGTTCATGACATAGAATAATCTCAAATGTGAGCCGAAGTGTTTCGGGCAGCATTAGTAGGGTTTTGTGGGTGTGAGGGCTTGCAAAGTGCAAGGTACACATACGTTGTATGTTCAAGACTTCAGTGAAATCACATAATGCAGTACAGGTGAGCACTATCAGAAACACCTTGGATTCATTATGCTTGATTTTATATTAATTTTGCTTGATTATGTAATTATTTATATTGATTTTATATTAATTGGTCATTGTGTGTTCAGAAACTACTGTTTTCAATATGGAATTGTAACAGTTTAAGAAGCTGGGATCTAGAGCACTGATCATACAGGAAGTCCTCCCTCCTTTAGTTTGTTTTGCATAAAATGTATGTGACCTTTACACTAATAAGAATATAAAATATGTTATTGTAAACATAAAGATATTTTTCCATGGATAGTATACTATCTGCAGTGTTCGTTTTATAGTGAATCTTTGGAAAAGAGATTTAAAGTAGTGTTAGGGTATCCAACACAATGATAGCAGACCAACATGGGTTAGTTAAAATGCCAAAGGTAACCTCATAACCTTTAAGCAACGCCTTTTTTGTTTGTTTGTTTGTTTGTTTGTTCCAAGAAACAGCCTACCATGCCAACCAAACTGATTCTTTTTTTTTTTTTTGTGCCCTCCATGTCACTGACATGAAATACTTGAGACAAGAGAAAAGACTATGATAATCTGGAAGGTCTACTGTGTATCCAACCATTAATGTAAACAGCCTTGAAAAGCAAAATTTCTTGGTACTTCAGAGGCTGTTCTTAGATATTTGTTGAATGTTCCGGTGTTCATTTTTATTGGATTGTTAGCTATCAACATTTTTATTTTCTTTAGATTCATCAAATCTTTGTAAACATTTTAGTATAGTTGGTCATTATTTCATACAATTTCACCTACTTGGATTGTGACTGACCACGGGTAATTGGAATTGCTTGACTTGTAGCCTTTGTTATATTCATAGTGTCATTGTGTCTCACTCCCTGCTGCTAACTTTTGGGCTTTGCTTTCATACTGTCTCACTCCAACAGACCTGCTAATATTCTCAGTCTCTGGCTACTGTGTCCCAGCACAGGATGCTACTCTGTACTCCTAGTTCCCACAAACTTGGGACTGTTTATGATCATAAGGTGTGGTTATGTTTGTCTTAACATTTCTTTTCTTTTTTATTGGTCATCAGCTAATGGTATTGACTTGGTCTAGCGCAGGACTGGAAAAGTAAAACTAGTATAGAAAGTGGACAGAGAACCTAGGAAAGGAAAAGTTGGAAATAGCTCAAAAAAGTTGATAGATTGAGAAAGAACTCATTCACTCACACAGTCATTTATGAACATCTCTCCAGTTGTGTTTGTGTGTGTGTGTGTGTGTGTGTGTGTGTGTGTGTTTAAATAGTCTCTGTGGACCTCCTTATGTAACCTTAGCTAGCCTACAACTGGCAGCAATCCTCTGCCTATCCTCCCTAGTGCTGGGATTATAGACATGATATACTATGTCTTGTCTATACCTCCTAGGTTTTTAACACAGTATCCTTTTCAGGAAACTCTAGGTCTGCTAGAAAGCCAACTACAGCCTACTATGTATAACCTTGTGCAAAAATATTTTTAAAATTTTATTTTATTTTTTTTATTTTTATTTTTGGTCTTTTTGAAGCAGGGTCTCCCTGTAAGCCCCAGCTGTCTTGGAACTCACTATGTAGACCAGGCTGGCCTTGAACTCACAGAGATCCGCCTGCCTCTGCCTCCCAAGTGCTGGGACT